GAAGCTAGCCAGCAGAAGATTGGGGCCGCACGGGGGGTGATTGCGACCTTAAAAACTCCACTCCACTCCACATTAAACGAAAACAAAAAAAAACTTGTTTCAAACCCAGGCCTCCCCGGCCGTACCCCCTTGATGGCGGTCCTGGCCGGGGATTCAGATCGTGACCCCTCCTGTTCACTTGCGGGACCCCATATGGGGTCGTGACCCACACTTTAAGAAGCACTGTTCTAGACGGCTTCCTCCGCGCCACAATAAAAAATCAAACGGATCCGTGAAGAGATGGTAAAAAAAAAATAATAATAATCAGCGATTAAAAGAAGAAAAGATGAATTATCCCGCGTGCTAGAGAAACAACAGACCATCATCGGTCAGATAAAAAAACAAAAACAGCTCATTATTTCAGATAATTGCCGCCGCGGGCCCCGGACAGTTCAGCCGAGCCGCACAAAAGGGAAAGGAAAATATGTTGGCTGATCTGTTATAAGTTAGATATGTCTCCCTCCCAGGCATGGCTTCCTGTTAACAAGAGAGGTCATATTATAACAGAAGAAACAAAAGAACCCGAGCGTGTCATCCACATTTCTGGGTGCTAGTTAGGAGCTTGTCCACGTTAGTGTGGGACTTGATACAGAGGCAGATACAATGGGGTCATCACTTCAAACAGTGATAGGTCACTTTTCTAAATGAACCGAAGGTCCTCCCCAGAAGTCCTATTCATCAGATACACTATATTACCACAAGTATCGGGACGCCTTTACACGCACATGAACTCTAATGGCATCCCAGTCTTAGTCCGTAGGGTTCAGTATTGGGTTGGCTCCGCCCTTTGCCGCTATAACAGCTCCGCCTCTTCTGGGAAGGCGTCCGCAAGGTTTATGAGTGTGTCTATGGGAATGTTGGACCATTTGTGAGGTCAGGTTAGGGTTGCCACCTTTTTTTCAAGCGAAAACCCGAACACTCTAGCAACGTGCAGGCATTTTTTGGGGGCGAATGAGTGGTGGCTTATTTCTATGTAAATATCACAATTGAGACTATTTTCAGTTGGGGGGGGAGGGCCAGTAGCCCCAATCTTAATTTTGGTTGCCCCTGTCTGCCTGACATTTTGTGTCCGGGTTTCTGCTTCCATGAAACCCGGACACAGCATTCAAAACCCGAACTGTCCGGGTGAATGCTGGACAGGTGGCAACCCAAGATCAGGTAGTGATGTTGCAACCGCCAAACCCAGACACGCCCATCGCCAGACAGAGAAGGGTGACTGGTAACTCCAGAGAACATTTGCATTCTATAATTGCTCTCTGTGGCAGCAATTATAGAATGCAAACCAAATATAGAAAGCGAGGTGCCCTCTGCTACTTGTATGTACCTTCTGCCCACTCTATTTACCTAATGGGGCACCACCACAATCTCTGTGTAGACTCATATGTAGCGCATACATTGTATCGGAGGAACCTAATAGTGTATCTGAAATGAAAGGCAAGCCTCCCCCAAGACCATAGAAAGTTTTTAAAAGATGGAATATCTAGCAATTCCTGTATATAAATGATGCTGGTAGACCAGTGGCGTGCGGTACCTCTTGCTCGAGGTGAGGCATTCCCCAGCCCCCTCCCCGCTGGCCAAAGCCCCGCCCCAAGCTAGTGTAAAGGAGAAAAGGAGAAAGGGAGGAGACAAGGAGGACGCGGAGCCTCCCTGTCCCTCACCGCTGAGGCTCCGTGACAGGTTACACATCGGGGAGGATTTCCATGCTGTGTAACCTGTTAGATGCCGATCTGAATGGAGAAAAAGCTGTCAGCTTCAGACACGAAGCTGACAGCTTTTTCCTCCATAATTCTAGGTGAGACTCCGCCCCCCCGGACCGCACGTCCCTGTGGTAGACTATGGTGCAGATTTAAGCCCTGCCCTGTTCATATGTCCCAGACTACAATCTAATTGGGGCTTGTAGCATATGATCTTTGCTCTTCTCTGTTCCCCCCAAGCCTCACCAATGAACGAGGAATAGTCCTGCCACAGATCTGGTATGGCAAAGTCCACTTACCATGCTCGGGATACCCAATGCCCAATCCCACCGCCTGGTCATGTCATTGATATCAATAGGAGAAGCTCTGCCTGTCACTAGAAGGACCATCTGAAGGACCTACGAAGGTAGATAAGCCGGCATTTAGAATGATGACATATTTTTTATCTTTGTTATCACTGAGAATTTACGGTGAAGAGAAGGAATGCAATATTACTTGTTTATTGTTTTGTTCCTGTGGGCCTTATCACCATTTATTCAATGTAAACCTAAGTGTCAAGTAAGGCCTGGAGCTATGGAAAGCAGAGGAATGAGCGGAAGGCCTGCATGACAAGGCTGGGAAGGGGAACGAGGACAGGAAAGGGTTAAGGAGTGATAGAAGAAAGGGTATAGTCACTTACTTGATTGGTGGAAGGGGTGGTCCAGGAGGGGCTTCAGGAAAGTTAGCCAGGAAGGAGGAGTCCGGAAGGTCAGTTGGGAGTCCTGCAAGATAGGAAGAACTTCCCACCCACCCGCCCCGTAGGAGGTGGTTTGTGTTTCTGGATATTTGTCACAGCTGGGGGTGGCGGTTTGGATCCTTGGAGGCAGTGGTTAGTGGGTACATATCTGGACGGGGGACCCATCCGTGGTGTGGGTGTCCTCCAGTAGTCGGACGGTCAGATTGGTATGACCGGTAAATAGGGGACCAAAGTGGGTCTGCGGGCAATCTAGTTACGTCCCCGAGGCGGTGTAGGGCGGCTGGGGGCGTTCAGTTACAGAAAAGGTGCCCGCATGATACTGGTCCATTTATAGAGTACAATTGCCTTCAAGGACCTTGAAACCAAACGAGTAGGTACAGGTGTTTGGTTGTCAATATTGTTTATATGGTTATGTATAATGTTATTTATAAGTGTTTACAATAAAAGGCTGCTGTGACCATTTAAAATCTCGTTGTTGTGTGGCGTAGTTATTGGTAACAGGGAAAGGGGGGGGGCCTTGGAGGGAAGTGGGTAATGTAAAAGGGACCTCTGAGCTACCTGAGTCATGGAGTTTACACCTTTGAGCCTCCAATCAGCCATTCCTAATTACTTTGTAACCAAGCAATTCTCTCTAGATGACAGTTGGAGCGCCAGGAAAACGGAACCATTCCGCTCCATATGGAACCGTACTTTGGCTGTTTTGTTCCTATAATTGTGAACCCGGCAGCTGGTCACAAAGCTGTAATTTTGCAGCTATATCAGGCGGGCGCTGAGACGCAGAACGGTCATTTCAAACAAGAGTCGCACCGCAACGCTCAGGCACAATCTTTCCTTCTGTCGCTTTTCTCAAAATAGAAAATCTACTGAGCTCATTCGCCGGGGGGGAGGGGGTTTGTACCCAGTTTAACAAGGCGGATGGTCCCAGTTAAAGCTGCACTCCATGCAGATATAAAAGGTACAAATAATGCAGCTTTGTAAGTATGAATATATATACACACACTTTATATATACTGTATATATATCCGGCCACTCAGTGTATATAATAATCCGGCCACTCAGTGTATATAATAATCCGGCCACTCAGTGTATATAATAATCCGGCCACTCGGTGTATATAATAATCCGGCCACTCGGTGTATATAATAATCCGGCCACTCAGTGTATATATATATGGGCAAAGGGGACAATATCAGGGAAGTAGGAGTAAAGGTATAGTTGCACTTCAAGTAGTGCTTGTACCTGAAATTTGCATTTATTAATATATCATTCAATGTAATTTTATAAATGATAAAAGCCTCTTGCAATTCCGCTGCACAGCAGAGCTCAGCCGTGGGGAGGAAGAAGCAGCACAAGAGGCCAATAAGACGCGCTGCAATGCTCATGTGCCAAAATGGGATATGGTGATAGGAGTAGAATACAGACCAGCCTGCTGCTTCTCCTTTCACTGCCCAGTCATAGCATGAGGGTGGTGAGGAGATTAGGGCCGATGTCATTTTGGAGTAAGCAGGGCCATGCCACCCACCAAACCCTTAGCTGCCACTCGTTGCTAGGATGCTGTTGGCCCACTGGGTCATTGGTTGCTAGGATGCTGACAGCCCACAGTGCCCTTGGTTGCTAGGACGCTGGGGGTCCGCAGTGCTATTGGTTTCTAGGGCGCTGTGGGTCCACAGTGCTATTGATTGCTAGGACGCTGTGGGTCCACAGTGCTATTGGTTGCTAGGGTGCTGTGGGTCCACAGTGCTATTGGTTGCTAGGGTGCTGTGGGTCCACAGTGCTATTATTTGCTAGGACGCTGTGGGTCCACAGTGCTATTGGTTGCTAGGGCGCTGTGGGTCCACAGTGCTATTATTTGCTAGGACGCTGTGGGTCCACAGTGCTATTGGTTGCTAGGGTGCTGTGGGTCCACAGTGCTATTATTTGCTAGGACGCTGTGGGTCCACAGTGCTATTGGTTGCTAGGGCGCTGTGGGTCCACAGTGCTATTGGTTGCTAGGATGCTGTGGGTCCACAGTGCTATTGGTTGCTAGGACACTGTGGGTCCACAGTGCTATTGGTTGCTAGGGTGCTGTGGGTCCACAGTGCTATTGGTTGCTAGGATGCTGTGGGTCCACAGTGCTATTGGTTGCTAGGACGCTGTGGGTCCACAGTGCTATTGGTTGCTATGATGCTGTCAGCCACAAACCCTCTTAACAACCAATGGCGCAGTACAGCCAACAGCATCAAGGTCAAGTAATATCCAGGGATATCATCATAGCAACCAAGGACACTGGGGCTGCGCATGCACTGAGGAGGGAATGTTCACAGTATTGGCACTTTATAGTGTTTTTAGTGAAGCCCCTCCCCCACCAGGTCTCTTTAAAACAGCTCAAACATGTTTCAGTGGTAATTATGAGGCAACACTAGTGTTAGGTTTCATGTTGTGAGATTTACCTGCGTTCTATGCCATAGAAACCCATGTGGCGTAAAAACATAAACCTATATAAAAGTTCTAACAAAGAAACATAACTGACCCTTCATCTCCTCTCATTTCAGGTTATCCGTGGAAACAATGAAGGCCCTGCTTCTTATATGCACCTCCGTGGTTCTCTGCAATGCCCTGCCTTTTGAGCAGAAAGGGTTCTGGGACTTTAACATGGATGATGGGCTGACAATGATGAGGGATGAGGCAAACGAGGAAGGCTCAGGAGTCGGTACTGTCGCTCCCGGGAAGAAGCGACCCACGGTTCTCCCACCTCTCGGCCCTCCAATGGACTTGTGTCCCTTCGGGTGTCAGTGCCACTTGCGCGTGGTCCAATGCTCAGACCTGGGTGAGTTACGCTTAGATGTGGACAATGATGAATGAGGAGCGGAGAGAGACATATGCTGCTCATTGGCAGTTTTGTCCTTTGCGCCCAGCCAATGAGATGCTTCTGGGCCAAGGTATAGGAAGTCACCAGGACTCCAGACATTGCATCATAGACATATATACATACAGGGCAGCCATCAGAAATTTTAGGGCCCCTTACACGGTCCCCCCGCCCCTCCCTCCATTCCTTCCTAGCTCCTCTTACCTGAACACATGGCCTCGTCTGCCGCCAGACCGGCCAGAAGTAACGTCACTTCCGGCCAGTCCGACATCAGACTAGATGATGGGGCCCTAGCTTGTCTCAAAGCCACTGGAGCTGCAATGCTGGGGCCCTGCACTGCTAGGGCCAGGCCTCCGCCTCCTCGCCCTTCACCGTCGGCCGATAGTCATGTAAGGGACCCGGGCGGGCCCCCCAGGCTGCCCGGGCCCCTTACATGAGTATCTGCCGTACCCCCCTGATGGCTGCCCTGTATACATATATGTGTCTGTGAGCTGTTTGTGAGATGCTATTCCGTGTCTAGGGTGCTGGTGATTTCATGTCCCTTGATCCAGCCTTGGAACAGTGTCATAATACGCTATCACTTTGATCACGCACCCAATATTTGGATCTGCAGTGCAGCTTTATACATGAACTGAATCAAGATGTAGGTTTAATTCTGGGGCCACCAGATGGTCTGGTTGACTTTCATGATGCCGGTCTTGTCTTGGAAACCCATTGTCACGTACCTTAGGGGGAGCCTAAGATGACGCGGGCGGCCTCTCCTGCTGCTCCAGTCCAAAACACCCCTGGATAGTGGGAACGGGTGCGTGAGGACAAGGAGGGGCACAAGTGCCAGTAGGTTGTGACTCCTGTCAGAGCTGTGTGCAGGTTGCAGGGGTTCCAAAGCAGGACGCAGGTAGTAACGCAGGATTGTGGAAGCGGAGTGAAGACATGCCGGGTCAGCAACAATCTGGCAGCGAGGTACACAAGCAACAGGCAGGACGAAATCAGAGACAGGCCGGGTCAGTAACTTGCAGGCAGCGAGGTATCCAGGGAGCAGACAGGAGAACAAGCCGAGGTCAAAAGGAGCCCATGACAGGAGCAAGGTCAAGCAGGCCGGGTCAATAGCAGGAGATCAAACAGGTTCACAGGTTTCAGGAACAAGGTAACAGCTGAAGATCAGTCAGCAGGGAGGTCAAGGTGTCTCAGCTTTAAATAGCCCTGTTGGCGCCATCACTAGGAACTGGCGTGTGCGCACGTCCACGTGCACGCCCACGTAGAGGCACGCGGCCGCGCACAATCCTCTGTGTAGGATGATGCGCATGTGCATGCACAGGTGCCCCTCCAGCAGTCCGGCCAGACTAACTCTGGCTTCATGACACCCATTAACTCATCTACACAGCTGAAATTGGAATGCTTACCGTTATAGACAATAGCCAATTAGCCTACCAGTGCATGTGGAAGGAACCTGCCAGTATGTCTTTGGAGTGTAGAAGGAACCACATGTCTTTGGAGTGTGGAAGGAACCTCCCCACATGTCTTTGGAGTGTAGAAGGAACCACATGTCTTTGGAGTGTGGAAGGAACCTCCCCACATGTCTTTGGAGTGTAGAAGGAACCACATGTCTTTGGAGTGTGGAAGGAACCTCCCCACATGTCTTTGGAGTGTGGGATGAAACTCTTGCATGCACAGGAAGCTCCCTCTAGGTAGGTTTTCAACCAGGGACCTCAATGCTACAAGGCAGAAGTCCTAACCACTAAACCCTTGGTTCTCACCGCGTGCCTTCTACTTTTCTTGGTGAGAGGCTCCTCTGCCTCCTCCTAGCGCAGCACTGTCAGTTGTTGAGCCAACCAGCCATTCAAAAGATGTCGCCCGTAGCCGAGTGTCAGCTTTAGGTTGTGTAGGCTGGGGCTATGGCCGCGAGGGAGCTCTATCCATCCATGCATTGCTCACAGCTCCCTCACGTGTCCTGTAGAGGTGCCTGGACCAGAGTGAGGTCACATTCTGGCTCCCGGCACCTCTACAGGGCGTGCAAGGGAGCTGTGCAAGCAATGGACATATGGATGGGGCTCCATCACAGCACAGCAGCCCACACTGGACCCCAGGCTGAGGATCCACTCCAGTTCTCATAAGGTAGGGAGACCGGGTGGACCTTAAAAAAAAAAAAAGTGTGTATGTAAGTGTGTAAGTGTGAATGTCTGTGAGTGTGTGAGATTGTGTCTGTGTATGTATGTCAGTGTTTTAGAGGGCCCTTTCACACCAGTACAGTGCATTAAACTGTACCACACAATCGCACCTACCGTGCGGAAAGGACATGTGCAAATGCCGGTTTGTCTTGGTGCAGCTGGACCATGCTGGAAACCTGAACATTTCCAAAGAAAGGATGAATATCCAAGCATACGTACATAGCCAAGGCTGTATTGTACTGAATTCTTTCCCTTTGGGCCCCCTCGGGGAGAGCTGATTTCCTCCAGCCAAGGGGGAAAAAAAAATATCTTTGTGTAGATTCTTTCGATTAGCGAAAAAACTTTCAGACATGTACAACTGGTGCTGGGGGTCCCATTAGAAAGCCGCTTACCTCATCGCAAAGGCAGAAACAGGCTGTGATTTATGGGA